CTCTCTCTCTCTCTCTCTCTCTCTCTCTCTCTCTCTCTCTCTCTCTCATCCCGGTGGAATACCTTCTATTCGGTGAACTTGCGCGTTTTATCTTAAGTGTGCGACATTCTTTTATGGGAATGCGAATTTTGACAAGATAATACAAGATTACGATGGATTAGACCCAGTGGCGTAGCTAGGGGGAGGGCTAAGGGGGCTGCAGCTCCCCCGAAATTAATTTTTTGGGTTACGCTAAGTGTGAGAAAAATTTTTTCGAACCTTTTTTTCGCTCGTCAAAAATAAAAAGTACCCCCCGGAACTTTTTTCTAGCTACGCCACTGATTAGACCGATATTTAGCGCCAATTTTCTCTCTCTCTCTCTCTTTCCGTCCTTTGGCTACCTGCTCATTCGATGCCGTGTAGTTTCTTCATTTGCAGCTTGATCTGTTCATAGGTGACCCAGAGCACGATGTTCCAAGACACCAAGCGTGAGAAACTCGGCACGAAACCCTTGTAGAATGCGAACGGGCCCTCCTGGACGAAGGTCCTGATGGCGCAATCTATCGCGCCCTTGTACTCGCCGGGCGCGCTGTTCATGTAACGCGTCTTTATCACGTCCACAGGACTCGCCGCCAGAGTGGTGCAGAGTCCGGCGGCCGTCGCGGCCGTCAAGTGACACGGGATTCCATCGCGGAGATAGCCGCTCGCCAGAATCAGGTCCTTGATGATGTCGTAACAGACTATCTCCGCCACGTTCACGATCGCGTTCCGCGACATGTTCGGCAAGGTTCCTGCGGGACACGATTAGTCATGAGTCGGACTTAATTATACCTCCAGCGGACTTATTTATATAAAAGATAAACGGGGAAAGACAGGAAGAGACAGGGAGAGACAGGGAGAGACAGGAGAGACAGGAAGAGACAGAAAGAGACAATGCAGATTACAGGGAGAGACAGGGAGAGAGGGAGAGACAGGGAGAGACAGGAAGACACAGGGAGAGACAATGCACATTACAGGGAGAGACAGGGAGAGATCGGGAGAGACGGAAGAGTATAAAAACGCAATATACACGGAAAAGAATCTTAATTCGTGCAACTGAATGGAGACCAGACGAAAAACTCGCTGATGAAAAATAATCTCTTCGTTACCTTGACCGAAAATATTCGACTGAACATTCTATTGCATTAAAACTCGGTTGAGGTTAAAACTGAGAGAGTACTTGACTGAATAGAAACCCCTACAGGAATCTTTCTGTTCCTACAACCAAGTTTTTCGTCTGGTTTTTCGTCTTTTCCAGGTAACAGGAAATTCAGCTACATTAACGGAGTCGTTTTCTCCGTGTGTAAATCTTTAAAAGTATAATAAGAAATATGAGTTTTTAAGTTGTTTTAAATAAAAGATTTCAAATTTCGAAATTGTAAATATTTGTAAAAGCGTAAATACACGGAAAAAAGAATTCTGTTGGTGCAACCGAATTTTCGGTTGCTCAGGGATCAAACGAAAACTCGGAACAGAAAAATTCCTTTATGAGACTTCTGTATAGTCAATTGTTCTCAGTTGCCTCAACCGAGTTCGAATATCGTTGAATGTTCAGACGAATATTTTCGGTTGCGACAACAGAAATATTAGTTTTCACAATAGAGATATCGCTTCTGATCACCTAACTTTCAGTTGGTTCCTATTTGGTTGCACCAACTGAAATTTTTTTTGCGTGTACAAAAGAGAAGTATGACTTGGCATCACGACACTCGGCGCGATCGTTTGGCTCGGTAAGATCTCGGAGGAGGAGTCGCGGAACGAAAATCACTCGCTCTCACCTTTCCAGAGGCCCCGCGTACCCTCCACGTGGGCGATATTCTTGTACGCCTGCAGAGTGGAGCTATACCTCATCGACGATCGCCCATTATTTCCAGCTTGCATGCGGACCTTGACGACGTCGGTCGGCTGAGCAATGAGCACCGCCAAAGCGCCCGTTGTGATCCCCGCGGCGACACGCACGCCGATGTTCATCGTGCCGCTCCTACTATTACCTGTTGAGAAAAGCGAACGCGGTGAAGACCAGGCGGGCCGTCGTGGCGGATAAAATGTATTAAAAATTAGGACGCGCGCGCGTGCGCGGGCAAGTAATAGTAGAAACGGACGGACGCGGTTTGCGCGTCGATCACTTTTTTTATTGGCTCATTAGATGTTCTCCAATTGCAGTCAGTGTAGTTTCTAGCAGAATTATCCGTGGCAAGTGTGCGTTAACGGACGTTCTTCACGGACGGGTGTTCGCTCCGGCGTTACTTTAGCGCGAACAGTAAAATTTGTCGGGGGACGCGAGAGGCGAATGTGAAATCGCAAAATTTATCTCCCGTCCGACGAGATCGAATCGGCCGGCGGGTACATTGAGAGAAAATAATACCTTAAAGATAAGACAATTAATTATAATTATAAAGTATAAATTGTAATTGACACAAGAAATTATCAAAATTATGCACAATATAATTTAATAATGTAAGTATTAATTATAACGTTTAATTATAATTAAAATAAATTTAATTATTACACAACAATTGGCATATAATAAATAATTTTAATTATAAATAATTATTGTATTATAGAATAAGATGGTTATTCGCGCGGTAGGGATACTAATAACACACACACACACACACATATTTACTTATATTAATAAACTAAATATTTTGCAATTAAAGTTCAAGAAAACTTTAGCTTTTCATGAAAGCAATTGTTTGTTTCATTTAAATAAAAGAAGAAATTTAGATTTAAATGAATATATTATTAGTACACCTACCACAAAAAAATAGTTACTGTTTTCTAGATATCTTTTCTCTCAATGTGGAAGAGATATTTATCTATTTAAATAAAAGAAGAAATTTATATTTAAATGAATATATTATTAGTACACCTACCACAAAAAAATATTTACCGTTTTCTAGATATCTTTTCTCTCAATGTGAAAGAGATATTTATCTATTTAAATAAAAGAAGAAATTTATATTTAAATGAATATATTATTAGTACACCTACCACAAAAAAATATTTACCGTTTTCTAGATATCTTTTCTCTCAATGTGAAAGAGATATTTATCTATTTAAATAAAAGAAGAAATTTATATTTAAATGAATATATTATTAGTACACCTACCACAAAAAAATATTTACCGTTTTCTAGATATCTTTTCTCTCAATGTGGAAGAGATATTTCTCGCGGAGATTAGAACGGTGTATCTTGTTTGATTCAAGATTCCAGACCAGTACGTAGATAAACTGATTCGTTTTAATGTTTTATTTTTGTTTTCCCGCAGAAATTATCTGTCCGTCGTCTGTATATGTCCGAGTTAAACGAAGCAGATTCAAATCACGATGGATCCTTATCGCGATTAACGCGAGTTATGAAACTTTGCATTCCGAGATAAACTGTCGGCAATCGCTACATACATACGAAGAAAGTTGCACGACGTCGGAGCATACACACACGGACGCGATATATGAAAAAAAAAAAACATAAAGTCCACAGAGCACGGTGAATCGATCTTTGCGCATGCGTTTTCGCGAGTCCTTCCGCGCCAAGTACTAAGTATCGAACCGCACGGAGAAGCTACCAGTTAACCGAGAAAAGAATGTCATAGCGTTTGAATTGCACGAGTCTAAAAGTACGTACGATCGAGTAAAGAGTCCGGGAAAAGTCTCAGCGATTCGTCACACGCAAGAGCGAATCGTACAATCATCTAGTGTCTCTGATTTAAAGGAAATCCAAGCGCCTCCGCGACAACTCCGTGGCGTTTCGCGCGAATGACGAATCGCGACTTTTCGCCGAACGTAAGTGGAGTGAAGTATGCATAATTATAATATGTAATTAGTCTCACGCGATTGTCCAAATGCAGAGCGGGTGAGAGTTACAAGAGACGTTCGGCTCGCCGCCTCAGAGGTGGTAATCTCTCCGCCGCGCGCTAATTTTTTCGCTCCCCCAAATATACCCACTCTCTAACAGTTAACTTATCTTTCCTCCTATCTCCTTTTCTTTCTCTCACGGCCGCGAAACCCGCGGAGGACGAGAACGAGGACGAAGGACACACGTTTCGAGCATCCCAGCCGAGACGGTCCAGTCCGCGTGTGTGGAGCTTGCGAGAGTTTTCGCCGTGGCAAAGCGAGCGGCCGGCATGATAATCCGCCGTTCGTGTACATGTGGGTGGATGGGTGTTTGTATGTATGTGTGTGTGTGTGTGTCAATGTCGGATGGCACTCGTAACAGGCTCATAAGAAGCTCAACACACTCGTGGGACATGCGAAATTTCGCGGACAGCTCGTTAGAACTTTATTATCGCAGCTTTATTAGTTAAATACAGTACCACACAGAAACAAAATGAGCATCCATTTGAACGCACTAAAATCAGCAGTCATTGTTTAGTACGCAAGCGATAATACGCAATTTCATGAGAAGAATTTTTGAATTTCAAGACACACAAGAACGTTTTCTTTTTCTGTGTAGAACTCTATTTTCCCCCGGCATTAATTTGCATAAATATTGTCTCTATTGTCGAAACCTGCTCGTTTCAGTGCTCGAGGTATTTCCAGTTTTGACAAAAGCACATGAAAGATGTTTAATATTACCAAATACAAGTCTACGGTCGCGTTTTTGATCGATATGTTTAATTATCAGAAACTATGGATAAAAATTCTAATTATCACTTGCGAATCATTTCTTTCGATTTCGTTCGATCATCCAGCATTGCTGTGCGTGCGTCTCTATGCGTGGCCATGTGTGTGTGTGTGTGTGTGTGTGTGTGTGTGTGTGTGTGTGTGTGTGTGTGTGTGTGTGTGTGTGTGTGTGTGTGTGTGTGTGTGTGTGTGTGTGTGTGTGTGTGTGTGTGTGTGTGTGTGTGTGTGTGTGTGTCTGTGTGTATATGCGTGTGGTAAAGAGGCGGAATCGCGCGGCTGCTCGTGTCGCAAGAGATATATTATCAAAAAGTTAGGAGTTTGTTGGATGTACCGTCGATGATTCCGGCGTAGAGTGACTTGACGCTGTCGTAGAGGCCCAACCGTATGCTGGCGAAACACATCTGTCTCTGGAGTCCCGCGGACAGACCTCCGTACAGGCTCCTGTAACCACCCTCGCTCAAGCTCACCGCCCTCACAATTCACCCTCAGACGCATCCCCAGGGCATATGTTTTGTTACAGATTTCTCTCTCCTCTCTTTCTCTCTTCCTCTCTATCTATCTCTCACTTTATCTTTCTCTCTCTCTCTCTCTCTCCCTCTCTCTCCTTTTCTCTCTTTCTCTCCCTTTCTCTTTTGCTCTCTGTCTCACCGTGTTTCTTTCTACATATTTTCGTACATACATATCGTCCCCGTTTTTTTTTTTTTACTCGAATATTGCGTAACATATTTTTCTTGATCTCTCCCCCGTTCTCCCCCGTTCTTTACTTTGCCACGTCCGTACAATTTTCCCCGCTTTTCTCGTTCTTATCTCTTTTCGCTACCGAGCGCTACAGCCTCCCTGAACATCGGATTACTTTACAGCAAAAGTCAATCATCATTTCGTTAGTGAAGTGAAGAACTTGCAGACGCGCACGAGAGAAAGGAGAAGCGGCCCGAGAGCCGAGAAATTACTCGGAGAGAGCGTGCGTCATCGTCAGCCGGCCGCGATTTTGCTGCGTCAATTGAATCGCGTCGCGGTCGGAAACTCAATCAAAGTAGAAAGACAGCGAGCCCGGGAAAAGCCGCCCCGCCCCGTCAGGCCAGGTGAACGAAATAAAAGCCAGGAGAGAAACTGCGTGAGAACTTAGCAAACCATATATTAC